AGAAATTCGTCCGTGAAAACCACAAATTAGTGATTAGAAAATGTGAGATCGCAAATCACTCTCCAATGGTACAATCTGGAATCGTTTTCTACAGATCGCGAATTTTAATTTGAGCCTGAATTCGGCACTAAATGAAATACTCATTCAAAAGTTTTAATCGATTGGGCCAAAGAAAGTCCTCATGTTTATTGTCTAGGGTTCATGCATTCTCCTACTCTTTTTGATTGCAAAGCAGTCATTCCAACGTTAGTGTTGACTGACAGCTAGTTTATAATGAATCTTCCTCGAAGAGCAGTCACAGTGGACTACTGCAATGCAGCTCCTTAGAGGCAACATTAAAATGTTTCGTGAGACATGACTGCAGTACGTGCATTCAGATATACGATTTTAGGCAGGCTGGCCCACCTCACGAGGTCACACAGTATTAGGCAACATTCACGAATGAAGTCTTAGGCAACACTTCCTCTTCCACCAGACTCACTCGTGACTTTTTGCTATGGGGTTATCTCAAAACACTGTTATGGTGATATCTAAACAATATGGCAGAATGAAAAGTGTGATACCTGATAACATTCCTACTGATATGCTAAGAGCTGCTGTTGAGAATGCAGATAACAGATTTAACTGCTTTCGAACATGTGACGCACATTGACCATGTTTGTAAAAGTTTAGGAAAATATTTAACATTTTAAAACAGATGTTTAGTGTCGTATTTCATTGAAAATATTGACAAAGCACCTTTTTCCTGGTTGAGCTTTTGAATTTTTTTTTTTTTTTGTTTCCGCAGAAATAAATTTCCAAATCTCCTTTACACGATTCCAAAGTTTGATAGCTTTGGTCCGGTAGTTTGCCTTTTATGACATTTCAATTGAAACTTAATATAGCACCATGTAAATTAAACTTTAAAAGTTTGACAGTTTGGTTCAAGTCCCGCTTTAAATTATATAGATAAATATAATCTTAGATTAATCCGCTGAAGATGTTTTAAGAAGCTAATTTCTCGCGTGACAGATGTATAAAAAAACATAATCTTTATAGATGATTTTATTGGTTTTCAGCGATAAGAATCGGGTCACTCGTGGTACAGATAAACCTTCTGAATGTTTTATTTCTCGTCATTAGCAAAAATCTTTTAATTAAAAGAGTGATTCGCTTTTAACTTTATTTGTAGTTAAAATGACTAAAAGAAAAGTGTTCAGTTGAACGCTCATGTAACTGATATTTAAAAATTGACAAGAATCAAAATTTATGAAGTCTAGCATCGAAAATCTAATTTTCTTGTGTGAGCCTGAAATAACTGTATAAGAAAGAAGAAAATTAGGGAGAAAGTAAGCAAACATTTTCGGGAAATTGGCTGTCGACATCCCAGGGTTTAAAAAAGTTGGACGTACTGAATAACTTTCAGGATACTCAAGAATTGGCTTCAAAGGAAACACTTGGACTGTACACCAGCAATACCTCAATTGAGCTTGTGTTAGCAGAAAAGACAAAACGAATCACTGAAATTAAGTGAGAATGTCTGTTTAGACTACAAGTGTATAAATTTAATACGTTATAGAACATCATATAGTAGCATAAATAGATCCCATGATTTTCTCATCGAATTATTTGAAGATTCAGGTGTTTATCCAGTATGTAGTGGAGGTCACCTAAAGAAGTTTTTTTTTTCCCCTCCTGATGAAACAGCGCCCGAGCGGTAAAGTTGCTGAACACTGGTAGTTCGGTCCGAGGTTCGAATCCCGCGAACGGCTGGCTGCATGGGTGCGTTTCCCAGTGTAACGTGTATACGAGCTAGTTTCCCTTAGAAAGTCCTCCACGAAGGCATCCCTCCCTTAGGCAGAGCCCTAGAGTGCTTTGTCATAATTAAAAAACCAAACCTCTGATGAAACCAGTCTTCCTTTCAGCTCATGCCTTCCAATGTTTAGCCTATAAAGACTGATAAAAGCTGACGAATATTCGTGAAGACTTCTAAGGGAAACAGCTGTTTACACGTAACATGAGAAATCCACCAAAACGCCCAGTAACCGCCCGTTTACCGGGATTCGAACCCCAGAGTGAACTCCAGTGTTCTCGAAGTTACCCTCGGCCGTTTTGGGCCTTTATGAATGGAAGGCGATACTTTATTAAAAGATTAAAATAAAGATATTTCGAAAGTTGGATCTTTCAATATGCAGAATACCTAAAGAAAAGAGCAAGAATAAAGTAGAATCCTGAAAAAAGTGAAAAAAATAATAAATAAATAAATTTTTGCGTAAAGTTAGTATTTTTTTTTAATTTAAACCTTTAATCTTATGATAGTGATTCTCGATTCAAAAAAAATATGACCTAAATATGAATACATTTAAGAACGAAGGTAGGATAAATTGTTAACAATGGGCCAATATTAAAACTGTTTAAAGCAGTGTATGCAGTCAGCCTAAGTTAAATGTCGGTTATACATCTCTGTTATTTATATATCAATTTTTTCCGAATGAACATTGAAAGGAGTGTTAACGTGCGTTCTGTATTTCTCTTTTATATATGCAGTTTCAAACGCACAGTAGTCTGGGTTACAAAGTATTCTTCTGAAAGAAACGCAATTCAAATAATAAAATCAATTCTGGAAATTTATATAATAAATATATTTAAAATGCTCAGTTCAAGGACTAAATAGAAATTTTAAAAACAATTATATGAAGAGACAATGCAACACAACAATTAAATAAAGTATAAAAATTTAAAATTACCTAAGAATAACTATGACAAAAATATTAATACGAAAACTATTTGAAAAAAAAAAAAAAAAAAAAAACCGCACCTTATTTCGCAGTTTGATAGGTAAATAGAATTTTTAAAACGTTATCGAAAAAAAACAGCAACTTAAATCATTAAAAACAAATCGAAAAAAAAATTATAAATATAAGTTATAATTAAAAATATATATAAAGAATATTATTGAAAAAAGGAACGATTGTGACTTTTTTCCTCTTCGGAAGGAAACTAGGTGCAATATAAGAAGTTCGCCAATTGACTATTCTTGGCGCAACTGAAAAACGTGCCAACATAAATTGTGAGTTTCTCCATAAATTGCTCCAAATTTTACAAAATTTCATATTTAATCGTAAATGAGTTGTAGCATGAATAGAAAAAAATTGTATGTTATTCAGAAAAAGTCCGATTTGGTCAAATACCTATGTTCGAAAGGCTATATATGAATCTAATTATTCCTAGGTGCCTATCGGGACTGAAAAACCAGTTTGAATTTGTCAATCGCCCAGTAGAACGGAGATACAGCCTGTCCCCCCCCCTTTTTTTTTTTTTGAGCAGTGTACATAAATACACACTGTGTTCACAAAAGCCTTTACCTGACCGGCATTTTTGCAACTGCTGGTATTAGACATGTACTTCCAATTACAAAAATGTTTTTAATGATGTAAAGACTCAATTTTTGAGCATTTTAAAATTAAAACAAAATCAATTTTGTGAAAATAACAAAAGCTACTTTTTCATATTCCTCTGCTTACTGTACTTATCTCCAGAAAAATCCTGTACTCATAAAAAATAAAGTAGAAAAAGTTTGGCTTCCACACAACAAAAATTGACCAAAGGTCTCTGATGTTAAGAGATTTAATGAACACCCCTTTTTCCCCAAAAAACAATATTATATATCTTATATCCATGCTCATAAAAACAAAAGGTGGCTTATTGAGAATCAACCAGGGTTACATCAAAGAAAGTACATATGTTATGAGCACGAAGTGATGTCACACTTATCCACAATTAGCATTAAATCACGCAGCTTAGCGATAATTTCATAGGCACATATTGGAGTAATGCTGCATCTGTGCATCCAAGCCAGGCATATTAGGTATCGCCGGGCCTTATTAACTGCTACGCTTCTACTCCAGATGGAATTCAAGGGTCTTCCCCCTCTCTTTTCTGCCATCAAGCACTTAAAAGAATTTCGGCTCATCATGTATTTTGAATGCCCCTTTGCTACATACACTATATGCTTACAAACAACTATGCCTTCTCTGAGATTTGAGCCTGGACCCTTCAGCAGCGACCATCACTAACAGGTGCATGTCTGGACGGCACGATAAGTTTCATAGTCGATGCATAATACAAAAATAACTTAAATTTTTATGTATTTACATGAAATAAACCTAATAATTAAATAAATAAAAAAGAAACCACTTTATCAAAAGAACATTCATCTAGATTTAGAGCATGCTGGGAAAATAAAATACACAACATTCTACTTAGTACTAACTTAGTTTTTAGAAGATACTAAACACCAATTTTTATTACAGCATTTCATAAAGGCCTTATTTTTTAGCGGGTAAAAGAAAAGAAAGCAAAGAGATTACTGGCAATAGCAAGAAATATGAAGTAACTAGGTGGGAATTACTTTCAAATGTAAAATGCTTCATATTAAACACAGGAGAAAACAAAACAAAATTATGCATGAGCTTAATCTACTGAAAAACAGTTAAAAAAAGAACATATTTAAATGTTTAATTATCAGTGAATCAAAAGAATATCCTAATTTCAAATAAATAGATGACGAACAATGAACAGAAGTTTGGGTGCTTTTAAGTAATTATAACTTAATTTTAAAATGATAATTTTAGTACATGAAGCGTTTTTTTTTTTAAATGTATTTCCTTTATAGATTTGCAAAATAGAATTAAAATCTAAAACTATCTGAAAAGTATGGCAAATAAGGGGCTACTGAAAGCATTACTCATGTATGTAATAAAATTTCACACTGAGCAATAAAAAGTTTCTTTTCCCTAACGTAAAAGTGTGTAGACTATTACACTTTAATTTTATGAACATGCAGCGAGCTATTTTTCCTCTAAAATAATACGATGTATTTCACATTATATTAAGCACAATGTTTTAGAATATACAACTGCAAATTTTAAAGCTATATTTATTATTATACTCAACATGTTTTTTATCTCCAGCATTTTTTATCTTTATTACTTAATTTAAATGTAAAAGAAATAGCAAACCTCTTTTTCAAGATCTGATATCCTTAACTTCAAACGACAGTTTTCTTCCCTTAAACTGGAATTTTCTGCATTTACAAGATTTAATTCAGCTTCTAGCTTCTGTACATACTAATTATAGAAAAGAGTAAATATTACGAGAACTAGTAGAGGAAAACTGCATAAAATTAACAGATTTAATAATGATATACAAAGAAATTTTAAAAACAACTCTAAAGATCTGAAAGCTGTGGTCAAGGGAGGAATTTGTTCTTTAAAATAAATATTTCTTACTTCTTTCTTTCTCTTCCTTGACAGGTCTGCAGACTGACGATTTTTCAGAATTCTTTGCTGTCTCTTCAAAGCAGCAGCACAGACCTACAAAAAGAAACAGCAATTTGTTTACTTATGAAAACAAAAATAAACATTTAAAAATTTTCTGTTCTGAGTACTTAATAAAAGTAATTTTAATACTGATAATTCTAAATTTAATTGTGGCCAATGGAAATATATGGTGGTTAGTGCAGCTTTAAATAATTCTTTACATTAAAAGTTTTTAAAATGAGAACATCTCCAGCATATGGAAAAGAAATTACAGCAGTACTTTTCATTAAAAATAATATTTAAATATATTATATTCATATTATTACAAAAAGAATATTTTAAACTTCAAGCAATATGTCAGATGTATAAAAGATAATAATTTTTTGCACTGTCAGACAGCAACAATAAACAAACTAAAAAAAAGGAGGACACACCAAGAAGGAGTTAGGAGATTGTAATGAAATTTCATATATGATAATCTTTCGACCCAGCATATAAAGGATTAAACTTTGGCATACAAAAATTGAACAGCTGGTGCTTAAGAGCATAGAAATTCCAATTCTAGGACATAACTTCAATTCATATTTGACTCTCTCACTTTAACTAAGCCAATGCCTAGTAAATGGGTTTGCGCACAGTATGAGATATGCCACCAACTGACAGAGGACATGTAATTAACCTGAAAGACGCAGAGTGATCAAACTGAAGGATCACACAAATATTTTGGCCACAGCAATGCCTGCCATTTCACACTGTTGGCAAAAATAGTTGAACTACAGCATTAAGAAGGCCACAGTTGAGAAACTTAAGACCTTAGGACAGACTTAAAATTTAAGGACAGAATGGCTGGCTCTTGAAGTACCTAATTCTCCAGTATCAAAGATCTAATAAGTAACAGAACACCAGAGGCAGCACGAACTATTGACAGGTGATTCAGAGAATGCAGTTTGTGCTCACAAAACCCACTGTACCAACCTTGCCTCATCTGTACACACCAATAAATGCATTTTCGATGCTGCTGGCCTTGTGCAACCTCGAATCTTACAGACTGGCATAGAATTGTACTCAACAATAAATTCTGCTCAGCCGTAATAACCAGTGTTACCACATATCTGGAGATGTCCAGGACAGTAATGGGGTATTGACCAGTCTCATCCATCACATGGTCTGCACTCAAGTTGTATCCCTTCGGTTGCCATGCATGTCCATACTGTCATGGCATAGTAGTATTTGGACAACATTCTACAGCCCATTGTGTTGCCTTTCAAGGAACTCAATAGGGGATTATGTTTTAATAGGGGTAATACTCAACTACACATAGCAATCATTTCATCTCTGTGTTAATCAAAGCTTATCAGATCTCTCTTTAATAAAGTATGTTTGTTGAGAGATCTAGCGACTACCGAGAATATATTTGAGCAGGCACTTCTACCATCTCAGGATATCATTGATTAAATTGACAACTGGAGAGAGTTTGGCAAGAAATCCCACAGAAGGTCATTTGCCAACTGTAGTAGTCAATGCCAAACAGGATAAAAACTTGCATAACAGCCAGAGCTGTATCAATCCTTATTGATTTATTTGCGGTATTTTTTAAATATAATATTGAGTATGAAATCTGATATCCCCCCCATATATACATCTAATTTGAAGGTATACTGTCCCTCTTTTTTTTTTTTTTTTTTGTCTTAGAATGTATTACATATTACTCCTGATATTTATAACAAAACTCACTTCAATCACGCTGTTATGAACTGCTCCATTTTTCTCATTATTTTTTAGCTGAGATTTTAAATCCAAGCCATTAGCTGTATTTTTTGAAGAACGCAATTCATTTGGAACAGGTATTGCAACATTTGCTGGTGCTTTAAGCGTGCCCTTGGCTAACTTAACAATCTGATCAGGTGTTAAAACAGCTTTATTACCTAAAAACAATGAATATTAATTCAGTGATCTATGTATTTATAAATGAATAAAGAATTAAAATAACATATTTTTTTCTTCATGATGTACTGAATGGCTACTGCTGAAATTAAAGATAGAAAAAATTACAAGAAAACTAAATTAAACTCTTGCAAATAATACCACATATCAGTAAATGGTTGAAAAAAAAAAGAAAAAGAAAATAAATAAATAAATAAAACTAAAATAATTAGCTAAATAAAAAATAACCTGAGAAGAAAGGAAGTGAAAGCAATTAACTAGGTAAAGAAAACTCTCCTCTTTACATATACACACACAAAACATTTTGATACCATTCTATTTTTCATCACAATGCTTAAGTGACACTCAGTCAGCTAAGCATGATGAAAAATGATAAGCGCAAAGTACATAAAAAATACATGGAATCTTTACTAATGCAAAATCATGGAACCATTTGTTTGAATAAAATAACAAAAACATATTGCAATGCGACCTTTATTTCAAATACAAGCAATTAGCTGATGTGGTATAAGTATCAGCAATTAGCTGATGTGGAAAATGCAATGTCATGGAATATAATACAATAAAATGGACACTACAATTTACATCAACTTGAAATTCACATGATAATTTCATATATTAATTCAAACAAATTCTTTTGAACACTGCACATTTCACAGAAAACTGTATGTATCTTACCAGAACTTGAAATGAAATGTGGTATTGTAACCTTGTTGTTTACCCTGGATGATTCTGGCTTCGGTTTTATTTTTACTCCAGGTTTCACAGACTTAGCTGTAGTTTGTGTGGTTAGTGGTACTGAGTATGACAAATTAGGAAAAGAACTCAATGATACTACAACTGGTTCAAGTCTTGTACAATTAGATGGTGAATCGGGTAGTAAATCCACAAGTCCTGGTGGGGTATGAGGAGGTGTATCTGTTAATATTACCTTTTCAGGAGTACTTGCAGTGACTTCAGGAATACTGATGACAGAAATATCATTCTAAAAATATAAAATAAAAATAAAACTTAATTTAGAGCAAAAGACAAAATATTTTTTAATAAAGCTTTACACATTAAAAGTAATGTTTGTTTACTGTCTTAACAGCCTGGGAGCAAAATGTTATTACTACTTTAACAAGCATTAATCATTAGTTTTTGTTAAGCATTCACAATAAAAAAAATTTCAAAAACGAAAATAAACTCCCAAATTTGTAGAAATTATGCAACAATACAATTTGATGACAAAAGATAGAAAAACCAGACAAATAAACAATCTTCTTTTACTGTTTATCACAAATAATAAGTTTCATATATCACTAGATTAATGAAGTGCTTCTAAAAGTTTAGAAGCATAACACTGGATTAGACTTTTTTCAATTCAAAAGTAAAAATGAAATAATGCAAAATGAAATGCTTATTTATCAGGATTAATCTTTGGATTATGGTAACTTGGCGATTTTTTGACGACCAACCCTGCTACAGCAACCTGCTGGTTTTTGTTTGGACGCCATTTTGTTTTCACGAAGTAAAGGCATGTTTTTTTTTTTTTTTTTTTTTTTTTTTTTTTTTTTTTTACTCAACATTTTTTTCCCAACAATCTGCCAGCCGAATTATGCTTATGCTAGAACTTTTATGGAACAAAAGTGCTTAATCATGACGAAGATTAGATGCGAAATTGGGACAAAGTGCAGAATCGCCCACTGCTTGCCGCGTTTTTACGAATTGCACATACACAGTATCATCCATGTACACGTCGACCTATTTTCACTTAAAAAAACATTCCAGAATTGCACAAAAATGGCATTGCGCACACTCTTGACTATATCCATGTACACTGCTAAAGTCCTAGTTAGTAACCTTTATCGCCTTACCAAAATGTCGCCAAACTACTTGTTACCATATTCCAAAGATTAGCCTTTATCAGAAAAAAGTTGCCAAATGCTCTGATTACACAATACAATATTAACAGAACATCAATAGAACTTTTGACTCTATTCCATGAAAATTCATTTTCCTGTAAACTAACAGCACATATACATGATATATGTTTCTAAGAGTCAATCATGTTGCTTTTTATATCTTTACTACATGAATTAAAAAAAAAAAAATAATTCTCTGAATGACACCTAATGGACAAATAATATAATAATTCTCCAATTATAAAATATTTAAATGTATAGAAAACAAATACTTTAAGGGGAGAGATTAAAAATATACCCGACAAGAGAATAAATTAATTAAATTTTATTTAATAAGAATAGACTCTTACAGTATATAATAATCCATCATAAATTTAGCACTCCATAATCCATCATATATTTAGTACTTTTTTCAGAAGCTGAAAATAAGTCTCTTTGAACATACTGAATTAAACTATTAAGAATATTTCTTACTGAAAAGGAAGATAATTATTAAAATGAAAAAATAACATGAGAATATGCATTACCTCTGAGGCAGGAATATTTGGTAAAATTTCAGGAGAATAAGGAGATGATGGCTCTACTTTCATTTCAACATCATAACCATAATCTTTTAATAACTCCTCTAAATTTTCACATATATCTACAGTTTGAAGTTCTCCAGTCTCTTCATTTTGATTGGGCAGGATGTATTCATTATTTTCAATCTAAAAGTATAAAGTTTTTTTTAATTTCAAACAAATTCCAAAATTTACGACAGAATAATATAAATTTTAGAATCTGATGCAAAGAACAAAAGGAAAAGCACTATCGTTAATCCTATATTTGGTTTAGAATCTTTTTTTATTAAATGTTTCAGAGCTTTGCAAATATATATATTCTTCAGAATGATTTCGTGTGGGGGGGGGAGGACAACATTTACATTTTTAATTTCCTGCTTATTACCAGTAATAAGTTAAAATTTTAAAAATACTATTATGCTCTACACTCATTATGCATCAAACATAAAAAGATAATGATACACCAAATATATTAATACTTGGAATTAAAATATAATCAAATACCTCTCAAAATAGGGGAAAAGTAGTTTTACTTTAGTTAATGATAATTTTTTCTAACAACTGGCCATCTTTATTTAACAAGTTAACTACAAAGTATAAAACAGCACTGCCTCTCACAGACTGATAATATATTTTTGTATAATAATACCCAAAACTAGTTCTAATATGAGAATTCAGGGTTATTTTAGTAAAAAATAAGATTTTAATGTTATTTAAACAGCTCAGAATATGAAATCACATGTCACAATATGTGTCGTAGCTTCTTATTATACTTAATACAAATGCAGCTGCTAAGGAATTCACTGAGAAAATATAAAAAGACTATATGAATTGTCAGTATATTCAAGGAAACAATAACGGCTCATATATATAAGTCTGCTGATAGCAAACATGTTAAAATAAAAGAAAACAAATCTTAAGCATTGTTTCAAGCAGCAACAAGTCCACAACTGAGTCTTTTTCACTTATTTGATTGTCAATTCAAGCTGTTAATATTTTTTTCTAATTACGGAATTCTAGAAATTAGAGTATCCTTTGCCATCTGAAACTTTGACTCTAGACTGATGTCTAAGCGATAAAACACATGCATGATTTTTCAAGGTTTTTGAGATAATGTCAAAATTTGGTGTCTTTTTGCTGCTTTATCATCTTCATTCTTCCTCTTAGATGTCATACTTAATTTCTGAATTACATGAAATACCAGTTCAAAAGAAGAGGATAAACATTGATGAATATGTGATTACAACTCTGCTAACATGAATGAAATTATCACAACTTGTCCGGGATCATTCAGTAAGCAGACAGTGCCAAGCAGGGTTGCCAGATGAGTGCTCGGACAATGTTTTGTAGAGAGTATGTTGCTATCGCAAAACAAATAAAGCTTTGTAGCAAACAGCAGATAAATGAAATTCTAGTATTGGACAAATTAAATGGAAACAATAAAGATTATGCTGATGTGCGAAATCACATTCTGGAAATCTGAGTTCGGTGAGGGTTTATTACACTATTGAAAGTTTTAAAGCTAATATTCAGAATTACTAAACTTATGGCATTTCAGGGATACTTTAATTTACTTAAAAGTTAGTAACTGAATTTCAATATAAAATTTTAAAGTTCACTATTTTATTACCTATTTATAACTAATATACTTAGGTAACCTCTAAAATACATGCTGGCATATGTTTGGTTTCCATTTGCCAAAGATTTATTTGGCAATGCAAAGTTTCCACAACAACATTATTATTATTATTTTTTAATTTAGCACAATTCCATAGGAAATTGCTCTGATTTCTAAAGTATTTCAAAAACAGTAGTATTATAGCATTAAAAATGTAAAATAATGAAAACATATTAGCTTTCAAAGAAAGCCTACTAGTACTTTGTTCAAGGATTTTGCTACACAGAATAGTTTGGAATTTAATTTACAATGAGAATGTAAAAATTCAGTGAGTAAAAAAAACTGACATTAATTAAAACTATAAAATCAAGAAACTTATCCTGTGCATTTTTCATTTTTTTTTTTTTTTTTTTCCCTCCCCTTTTAAATTTGTTTGGCCTTGAAAACAAACTTTTCAAAAAACAAATTGTGCAGTTACTGGAATTTATTGAATGTAAGATTGCCATGAAATGATCTCAATTTGTACTTTAAAATTTCAGGAAATAGATCATTATAATTATTTAATATCTCACTGATATAAACATTGCATTTGCTAGTGACAACACAAATGCCACCCTCTCCCACAAAATGCCCTCTAAAAATATAATTTATCTGATATCTTTGTTTGGATGCTAGGGTATTGCCAGTTCAAACTTCTCAAAGGATTCACTAATTAGAAGTCAAATAATTGGATTCAGATTCTAGATTTTGATGCATTTTCAAAAACAAGGTAATAAAGCCTATGTTTCCAAATGTGTGTGATTATGTGAAAACATTGCGAGATGCAATGAAGATTAAACTGAGTAATCAAATGGGGATATTACAATTTCAAGAAATACAATTAGCTGTAAGATAAATAAATACAATTTTCCTGCCAATCAATATTTATGTTAACTTAGATACTGAATTTGAAAAATTTTAAGAACTAAAAATGGTTTTGAAAGCAAATTTGCTCTCTGTCAAGAAGGGACAGTTTTAAAAACACATTCTTGTCATACTAACAATAAATCTAAAATGAAGCTTCTTTTCCATAAATTAACTTGAACTTATTTCACTTTAGTAATATGCAGTACATCATTTACAACAAAATAAATGTCTAATTTTGCATTTATACAAGCATTTTATGAATGAATAAACTAGATTTACAGAAAGAGATACATCTATCGGATAATTGATGGGTAGTTAAAATTCAACCTTTTGCTTTCCTTAAAAAAGAATAGCATATCACGTGAGTGCGATCATCCAGTCCTAGCTGCATTTAATATCACTGCCAAATCTTTAACAGCAGTATTTGAAAATACCTTATGGTACAAATGTAAAAGATGATATTGTCTTATGAGTTTCTATTGTAGATGTATGATGTGTAAATAAACTCCCATGTAGATAAAGTTCAATGTAATACAAACTGAATGTCTTTTAAGAGATAAATAATGGACTCAACATTGCTTGATGGTCAGCCAGTCAGCCAATGGCCTAAATCCAGTCATCTACCTTGTAAAATACACAAGGAGGTTCAAAAGGTCGATGAGAAGAAGAGCTTGCTCGAATTTCTATTCTTTTGATCAAATATTGAGTGGTTGAATTTTCTTACAAACTTGTTTTTAAACTAGCGAAGTAATATCTCCACTATAACTATGGCAATCATAGTCATGCAATGTGCATGACAACAATAGATGGGTAGCATATATGTTACAACTGTGACAAATCTTAAATGTTATCTTCTTAAAGGATGCTGGGAAATATGACTAAACCCTGAGCACCAACATTTGACTTCATTCGTGATACACTGAGGATAGTATGCTTTTGAGTTTACCCTTTGTATTCACAAATTCTGCCATGACTTTCCAGAGAACTATAAACATACTTGTCACCATGCATAGACTATATTGAGGATGTGAGTATATTTTTCAATAAAAGGAATAAACATTTGAAAAATCTTATTGAAGACTAGTTTTGTGAAGGACACTAGAAGAAGTGAATTTCACTGTTAGCTTTAAGAGACATGACTTTGCAAAGCTTCAAATCAAATTTCTAGGACATAGAGTTGGTTCTAGTTCACATATGCCTGACTAAGGAAACGTTAAAGTCATCCAGAATTTAGAAGTTTCTTGTACTAAGAACGATGTGGATGCATCATCATACAGCATAGGAGTTCGTTTGGCTCAGAAAGATGGAAAAAATGAAATCACTCAATAGCTTTTGCTTGTAAAAAATTTACTGAGGCACAAGAAAAATATGCTGTTATTGAGAAGGAAGCTAGTGGTGTTATTTTTTAATTTAAAACGTTTTAAACATGTTTTGGGTTTAAAAAAATCATTATCATCTCTCAAATGTCTCATGAAGTGTTCCTTAAAGAGTATTTTTTGCAACACTGGTCTTTAGTTGTTACAATGGTTTCATGTAGTGATTACAAACTGGAAAGGAAAAGACCACATTAATGCAGACTCACTATCCTGACAGACAGCTTCTCTCTGGAAATATGGCTGAAAGTCACTTTTCAAACATTATCAACATTTTTAGCTATTTTTATTTGAATAGAATAAAATTTTTTTAAGAGCAAATATGTTAGACTTTAAAATTTTTCTGATATTACATTACATGATTCATATTTAGCCATGGTTTAGTAAAGTATAATATGTTTAATATTAATAATTTGCATTATTTTGTTTATGTACTTAAGATAATCTTAAAAGATTTAGGGTTACTTTTCCGTTTTGTCAGCGCAAATCTCGCCAAGAGGACTTTGTTGGTGACAACATACAGTATACACATAAAAAATTTTAACAAATGTTAGTTCTAAGAATTTTTTTTGAAGGCATAAACATTTTAATATGGTTTAAAATTTTGTAAAAAGCCAATAAATAAAGACAAATTTGTAAAAAGACATTAATTTAAGAATTTACTATGCTATTATGGTTCAACATCCTGATTCTCCGGTTTGTATCCCATGACCCCAACTGATCTCATCTCACGTAAACTACTCTAAAAAACATAATTCTCTCAGTAATTATCTACATTAATTTCAAGTTAAATCTTAATTTGGAATACAAGTTTAAATGCAAGAATTATTTCAATTCCTATGAATAGCTTACTCAGAAATTATGTAAAACCTCAGTGCTTTACTTTGCTAGTACATTCTCATTAGAATTGATGAATTTAACGCTTGATTTTGCTTTTCTATATTTTGCCTAGGTAGCGGTGTGTTGCATCCTAATGACTTGATTACCACGAACGGTCTTAAGGCATAAAATTTAACTATCTTTGTAAATATTCTATGTCACTTGTATGCCAGTATTAAAAGAAACAATCAATCAGATAAGAAATGGCTGCGACTTGTTTTGAAAATGAGGCGTAAAAGGTTACCAGCGAAGACATTCCGTTTGGCATCAATTGTACCATTATTGGCGACTTTATCATTTGCGTCGGCAAAACGGAAAAGTACCGATTTAGGTTTAAGGAACAGAATTTGTTAAACTGTTAACTAAAAATTTTATTTAAATTGATTTCTTTAATCATATTTTCCTAAAATATATGATATGTTTAGAACATTAAAAAAAATAATTGGTATTTGGTGAAAGTGTAATTAAATTTTAATAAATTTGCTTGTGTTGTACAAATAGATATGCTTATGTTTGAAGTCGAAATGGAAAAGTTAATTGAATGTTATATCTTTTATGATTAAGATTATAGAATTAATGCTGAAATAATTTTATTTGAAATCAATAAGAAATGATTATTAGTTTTTGTTTCCCAAAGAAATGTTTATATATGGATTTGGTCTAGGAAAGATGCAATCAAATCTTTTAGGGGAGAGTGTGAGGATCTGATGAATGCCAAGCATGTACATATCAGCCCAACCAGTGCACTGTGCCTCTCTTTTCACGACACACTCACACACAAAAAGAAGTCATGAATATGGCTTATGTATGTTACATGTCAGGCCAGATGAATATTATTTTGTAAAGTTTGTGTAATACACCCGTTTACTTACTTCTACTGCAGACTGTAAATAAAATCTGTCTTGATCTACATGCCGCTAATCATGAAAATGCTGTCTTAGTCTACATATATGTTAATTACGAAAAGAATCCACAAAACAACAAAATGCTGACAGTGATACATTCCAAAAATACCCTTCTATCAAAAAATAATGCAACAATAATTGTGCACAGTAACTGATAATGACAAAGTATGTGAAGCCTATCTACCCAAGGGAAAGGATGCCACTGTGAATTATTTCCCAAAGGAAATTTATTAATATTAATTGGAAAAATCAATAAACCTTCCCATGAATAGGTAACTTTCCAGAAACTGAGGCCAGAACAAATTGCCAGATATTCACCTTATACATTCAGCACTAGCGGATTAAGCTATAACTGAAAGTAGAAGTTCTACATGAACTTTGTAAAAAATACACAAACATAGGAAATAAAAATTATTTGCATCTACAGGAACGTGCATGAAAGAAGCCAAAAGAAAAGTACCAAAACATGATTTAAAAAAAATTTAACTGTAATTGCAGTAATGATGAAAGTGATACTTTTCAGTTTGCTACAATTTTCAACACAGTAAAAATTAATTATAATCTAAAAGTAAGTTCCAGGAGCACAGAAGCATATAACACAAACTAAAATGAATTTTTATCTTTTTTTTTGGGGGGGAAAGAGGCTTATGGGAAGAATTTGGTTGAAGGCCCAAGGCGTTTGACTTCCGGAGTACCTTTGCAAATTAATGCAATTACCTCCACAACTTCGTTAAGAAAACTGAATAAATTAAGAAAAGGCAATGGCTGAAGAGAAATGAATGAAACCGTTATGAGTTTAACGAAAGAGAAGTGGATAAGTCCACACAAGGGACAAAAAATTTCTTTCCGCTTTCAACTTGTTTTACAAGATTGAAAGAGAGAGACCTGATAATTAAGGCGAATTCCTGAACGCACAGCGTTAATGGAATCGAAAAGGTTGGAAGACAATCGACCGGGAAACGTATTGTTCCAAGGCCTGGGAAAGGTAAGTTAGGTAATACGGGAAGCCACAGAGATTGCTAACGCCTTGGGGATTGAGCAGGGGGGGGAGTAGTCTTGCGACTAAAAACTGGTATCCATGGCAGGAAGAGCGCTCTGTGAAAGTGGGGGGGGGGGCGAGTTGGTCCATTGTGTTGTAACGAAAGTTCTCCAACCTCCCGCTGCGAACCGCGAGGGTTGTTCACTGTAGAATTAACTGGAGCAACTTTATCGTAGGTGCTGATAGCCGTGAGATAATCTAGCTGCAAGAAAGACGAAGAAATTGTTGATTTAAAAAAACATGTTTCTTTCTTGCAAAATACATTAAGGATCTGTTTTAAATAAATAATTACTACACTTGCTTATAAAATAAATATTTGACATAAAACCAAACACACAGAAGTCAAGAATAAAAATAAATTTCAATGCAATAAAACTATAAATATTTTGAAAACACATTTTTATAAAGGTTATGGCACCTTTAATCCAGATGGTAAGCATTCCAAAATATTTCTGTCTTCATAAGATAGCTGAATATCACCTTCATCATATTCTGATTAGAAAAGAAATTAATTAACGTATAATATTAATTATAACATATATTAATATATACTGTAATATTATAGCATACATTTAACAGTTACACATTTAGAAAAAACTGCATCTCTAATAATTCACTAAAATATTTCCTAATTTACGACAAATTTAATTTAATGCAGTTTAACTACACTCATGTGCAAAATTAAGAAAACTTGCAAATTATGTCAATTTTTAAATAACATATTGAACCAGAGAGCTATTAATTATGCACCAAAAGAATTGTGCAAATATTTAGAGTTTAATATACAAGTGTACACATGTGTGTCTGCGGAGCTGTGATTGTGGAGGAGATATAAGCACACAAGGTGTTTTCAGTGATTTGTGCTCTTGCACTCCTTCATGACATTCACCATGCTTCTTGCAAGAGTTGAGTAAATTTCATAATGTATCAGGTAAAATGAGTAGCCACGAATGTATGGATGATGGAATGATATACAGAATTGGTAGATTGGAAGCAGGCCAATTACAAGGATAGGTAGAAGCATAGGTAAGTTCAAAGTTATGCCCAGTGTCATTTATGATTTGTAACATTGGATTCATATCACGAAGACCTGGACAAGGTGGACCAAGATTCACAGCAATGAATGAGGATTGTTATTTGCCACTTTCATGCTTTCAGCATAGCGACACAGGACTGCTGCATATTCACAGCTCTCACGTGAGCTGTATGTTGCCATTGGACCTGAGTTTTGCAGTCTATAATTGCTCAAAGGCTTCATGAGATAGGACTACGGCAGAAGACCCGCTGTTTATGTCCCACTCATTGCAGCATACAAGAATGTGCATTTAGCATGGTGAAGACAACATGTGCTTTGGACCAGATTTCTGTGGAGCACTGTGCTTTTATTGAGCACTGATTCTTTGTATTTGGAAAGAGCCTGGAACAAAATACCATCCCTCTCTCATCAGGGAAAAAAATCATTAAAGTGGTGAAAGTATAATGGTTTGGGCAAGGATTATGATGGGTGCCCACACACCTATGAATGTGCTTGGCAAAGATTCCCTGGTTGCTACAAGGTTTAGAGAGGAGATTCTAGAGCTTTATGTTTGACTTTTCAAGGTTCCTGCATTCCTGTTAATGGAATTGGATGATTACGTAGAAGATGAGGATATTTGCTGCATGGATTGGCCAGCTAGATCTCATGACCCCCTCACTGCAGACAGTCTGGGATGCTCTTGGGCCAACAATTTCATCTCAATATCCCCCTTCTAGAACCACCTTGCAGTTGAAAACTTTCTTGCTGTAGGAGTGGAATTGACTCCTGCAGCCTCCTGTACAGGAGGAGGACTCAGCTACCTCCTGACCAGTATGTTATTATGCTGTGTGACCTGTTTAGCTATGAGAGGGGATCATACCCCATATTAGATTCATTTCCAATTTGGTATCATAACAAGGGTTTTGGACATCCCTGCACTATGGGCTTACTGATAACCATGCATACATAAAATGATTTTTGAATGGCAAATCTCTTTCTATGTTATAAATGTACATTTACACCAAATTTCATTCAAATAGATTTGTTTTTCAGAAATTCAACATAATGAATAAAATAATGAACAACATAATTCAACATAAATTTTCTTAATTTTGCATACAAATGTATATACAATACTTCATTTTCTATGAAAAAAATATTAAGAAAAATAAACATTGAAAACACATACAGTATTTGTTTCATTATCTCACATTAGTAATAAATTACCTGACAGTTACTTTTCAGAACTATATTTGCTGATTCCAAAAATATATAGTCAAACTCCAATTTAACAAATTTCAAAGAATAGAAAGTTCGGTTTGTGATATCCAATAAGAAAAAAAAAAATATATATATATTATATATCACTTCACATAATAGTGCATAAAAATTATTAATGAATCACACAAAAAACTAATTAGTACTGTTACTTCTCCCAAAAGAAGTGGATTAAAAAAAATCTCATCACATCAAAAAGGGTTAATTACAATTATGAAAATCCCACTAAAAAGGATAAATTAAAATTATTATTATTTATTATGTGCAATTCTCTCTCTTTTTCATTGCACTCTGTCTTTTTCGGAAAAAAAAAAAAAAAAAAAAAAGAATTATTGTGGTACAGATTTAAAAAGAATCCAAAGTTTCATGACCATTACAAAGTTGAGACAGACCAACATTAATAATAAGGTATTGCAGAAGAATGAGAATATTTAAAAATTGAAAAAGAGTACTTTTTACTGCATTCAGCTGTAATCACAGAACACAAAGACACCACAAAATTTTATGTTGTCTTCAATGCATCATCACATGCTGAAGGCAATGCCATTCAAAGACTGTTTAGAATCAGACATTTCTTTCCACTTAAATCTGTTTCACTGTTTTTAAAATGATATAAATATGGACTTGAGGTTTTTCGAAAATCCAGTTTTGGCTTTTGAACTGTCCTGAATTCCAACATGCCATTTTTACTGACATGAAGTTTGGCCACCTCTGCTATATAAGGTGAAAGTTGATTTTTACTTAAAAAATTGACCCCAAATTCAAAACCTGTAAATAAGTAGAAATGGGGGGGGGGACCATGTAGCATTCAAATGTATCATCATGAGGATTAGATCCTTGCCAAGCAGGTAAAAGAGCTGGAATATTTTCCAATCAAATTGGCATAAAGTAAAATGACAGATGTCAATGATGATAGTTTCAACTTTGGTAACACTATCTGAAGCTAGTACAGCACATTTTTTCTATACACTTGTTGTCTTGTATATGATCTGTATATGTCTTGTATATCAGTACTAGTCTTATGTTTTATGCCATTTCATTTTTGATCTGAAAGATGAGCAACAGAACATCATAGAACGAAGCATGTTTGTAGGCGGAACTTAACCCTTTGCGGTCGGATTAAATTTGGAGATGGGTATCGTACTGGTCGGAATTAATTTCCGTCAATAGAGCAGGGATACATAACACGCAAGTTTACGATGGATAAACAAGATTTAGTAATTCTTTTGTGAACTTTAGATATACTTACTCAATACACTAATCTAGTGATATGTTTGTATAAAATTATGTTTTATATTCTCTTTGTGTGATATTTTTCACAAACACTCTCCAACATGCAGGTCAGGTTTTCGAGTGATGTATCACAAAAAAAATTGGTTTGGTGCTCCACCCTTAATTTGTTTGAACATACATACAATCTTTACTTTTTAAATTTTCACGATGCCGCTGTACGAATTTGGTATTTAAAAAGCTAATGTTAGTTCAATTATAAATTAAATGGTTTCTTTCTCGCGCAGTGCAGCGAATATTAAAGAAAGCTAAGCCGGAAAAAATTAAAATAAAGAGAGCTGTGTTAATAATAAAGATCTCTTTTTGATTTCCAAAAGTACAGAAAATTCTAGAGCGTGATTTAAAATCTTATAAAGGAGGAAAACATCTCAGTTTGTATAGTGCTATTTGTGTGTTAAAAACGCTCTTGGTGAGTAGCGAAGTGCGGATTAGCGTTCTTTCCTGTTTTAATTCTTTATTGATATTTGATAGTTAAAAGATAACTATGTGAGATTGTCTACTGCATGAATTTGAGAAATTAAGCATTTTTGTTGGTAATAATAATTTTTGTCATTTTTCATCGGACTGTGCATTCATTTAATAAGAACCCGTACGCAGCACCAGCAATATCTCAGTTTCAGGAAGTCGTCGTCCTTATCGGCGGCGATGTTTCCTGGTTGTGATTGTCCGCACGAAAATCACCTACCAGTGTCCACCAATTCGGACGAACATAAATGTCATAGGTAATCCTTTCTATCTTCTAGCTAATTGCGGATTATTGGATATTTAGAAGACAGCAGTCAATACTTTCAATCATTTATAAAATTCTTGAATTCTACAAGGTATCATTGAATGTTATCGATTTCATAGTTCAAAGACGACTGACTCGCCCCTGCGTTTGCTGGCGAGTGTGGTACAACTTTTGTTGATAATACATTATCTCTATCGATGGAGCACCATATTGGTTCGTGAATAGGTTCTTAGGCTTGAGGTTCTAAAGGAAAATGGAACTGATACATGATGCATACAGTAACGATCGTATAGTTCCTTGCTGTGGTGGCTGAGAGCAAGACATATGAACGGAACGGACGGAAAAAAGGCTTCTGTGGATAGGTGGACATATGACCGCAAAGGGTTATTCATAAACTTAGCAATGTACAAATACAATATTTTCTCTTCAATTTATATATAGTATTGTTGTGGACATACAGGTTTGTAATAAATCGAATGCACAAGTCCGATGAAAAGTGAATAAAATTCTTATCACAACAAATAAAACAAAATGCTGAAATTTCCTTAAAAATATTCATACCATATAGCAATACAGTCAAAAGTCGTTAATCCGGACTCGTCGGGACTTCGGCGATTCCAGATTATAAATCATCAGTTTAAATCTGGTAAGATGGCATGCAGAAATTATAAAATTAAAAACATTAAACCGTAATTTATGAAATAAGAACAATTATGATCTAAAGGTATCAAAATTTACCCAAAAAACTTAATATTTATTTTTTACTTTATAAACATTTCTTTTAATGTAAGTTGTTTAAGTTGCTTCGTTTTATGTGCTAATACTTTCTCTTTAATTCTTACAACATAATTTCTTGTTCAGTTACAAAGTTCCACTGTTCAAGTATAATTGCTGTGCCGAGAATACCGACTAATTTGTCAATCGAATTTTTTCGTTTCGTAACCTCTATGTTACTTTCTTCACTATCGGAAGATTATAACGAGGAACTTCAAACACAAGACGAACTAGATGTCTACTCATTTAGTAAGGAATTATAAGCCAAATAAAATTAACAACCTGAGAAGGATAGTGTGCTGGACAATAATTTTCCATTCATTGCACGCCACGGTGTTTGAAACCTGCCCTGAAGATAAGGGTAGTGCTGACAATCAACTTCCAATCATTGCGCACCAATCGTCC